CATGTCAAGAGTGCCTTTGTGATTACACAATCACTACCAGAACAAAATGAGGCAGCAGGAAAGATTACTGATTCTCAAGAGGAAGTTAGAAATCTACCCCAAGCTGAGGCAATTTCTCTGGAAATACCTCAGGAAAATATTTTTGTCCAAGAGCAGCTAACAGATCCTATTTTAAAAGGCTGTTTTGGAAAAGTGGCTGGCAAAGGATTATCCCCTAAACAAGGGTTGCTATACAGAGAAAAACAGATAAATATTTCAAAAGGGGAACTTGAGATTAGAAGCCAGTTAATGGTACCAGATAAATATGATTCAATAATTTTGGAAAAGGGACATTCAGTCTTAGTTAATGCACATCTGGGTATAATTGAAACCAACCAGAGAATAACCCAGAAGTTTCATTGGCCTGAAATAGAAAAACAGGTTAGAAATTTCTGTCAGAAAGTTGGTATGTGCCAGAAACAGAGTTATAACAGTGACCAGACTGAGGTTAAGATGTGTTAGATAAGGTCTGAGTGATAGAGTGATTGAAGGGATTCTTTATTTTAATGATTGACTTATTCAGTTCATATATTGATTTACTATATATTAAGTTGTACCAATAAACTATAATTTTTATTTTTAAAATCCATACCTTTGTCTGAGGAGTCAGATATATGTGTGCGGTTGGTGGCAGCGTGTTAAGAGAAAGAAAGTGTGAAGTGGCATCCCCTCTGTGATGTATGAGGAGGCGGCCACAATGCTTGTTAACCACTTTCAGCTGCTATGTCTGCAGTGATAGGCTGCTCTCACTATTTAAGCAAGAGAATAAGAGCAGCACTTTGACACTCAGTTGTGAGTCTGGTGTCATTACTTTACACCTGTGAATGTTATGTTGCTCTATGCCTATGCATATAATGCCATGTATATATGTCTGACCAGTGCTAATATATCAAGTCTAATATATTATGCTATAAGTCTTATCAGAACTCTCTTCTTATAAAGGGGAAGATTTGAAGTTACCAGATAAGAGACTCTGTGTAACTTGTTATCTTGGGCTCCAAGGTTTGTTTTCCCTAGCAGAGTGCTCTTGGAAGTTTCCTTATCCAAATCTGACTCCAAGCTTCTGGAGAAGCAGACGCCACATCCACCTTTGGGGTTGGACCTATGCCAACAGGAATTTGAAATATATCCCAATCTTGCTAGAACGTTTGAGTTTTCTTGCTCCAGAACACCTTGCTTTGGTGAACAAACACTATATTATTACCCAATTTTCAATGAAATAGAATACACAAAGATCAACAAATGTGAAATTAAGATATTCGATTTAAACAATTCTTTTGCTTTCAAATGGAATCCAATTTTGTTTATCTGTAAAGGTCTTCAGCATTTGAGATGCAAATGTTTTTTTCCAAATATACAAATTGCACAGCAAAAGACTGTCAAAAACAAAGGACTACTTGTTTGTTCATTACCTCAACTATGTCAACTATCAATGTAATCAGAAATTGTATTGATGATCTTATGGACTTCTTCCTGAGTCAGCCTTACGACAACATCAAGACAATGCTTGTGCAATGCATTAAAGACATAGATCTCCAGTACTCACTAGCAGGTGCAGACAGGACCTGCTCACCAACGTACTTTGGTATAAATTTTAACTTTCCCAAGTTACCAAACTATCTATATCAAATCAATGTACCAAGGTATCGTTTTGCCTTCTCAAGGGCTAGGTTCAATTGCTTTCCCTCGGCCTTGTTAAAAGGGCGCTTTAATAACATTCCTTATGGAGAAAGGATATGCCCCTGTGGGGAAGAAACAGTTGAGTCCTTGGCACACACCATTCTAGAATGTAGTTTATAGGAGTCTGAACGTACCCGTTACCTCTACCCAATAATGTGTAAATGCATTAGTATCCCTCCCGCAGACTACCTTAAGTTTCTGCTGTCCGGAGAGAATCAATTAATATCACAGTCAGTGGCTAAGTTTCTGTTCTCAGTTTTAAGAATCCGTAAAGTGTTAAGACAGATGCATAATTCAAGTTTTATATTCCTCTTATCTTCTAATATCTAACTTATTTTGTATATTTTATGTAATGTTTTTATTCTTGTATTTTTGGGTCTATGACTGTACAATAAACTCAATAAACTCAATATTGACGATCTGCCTATTTATGGGGGAAATTGAGGTAATCCATATAACCACTGAGTTATTATTTATGTATTACAACAATTTATTGTCCTCCTCTTTAGGATATAAATTTTCCACAGCTAATTTTAACTAAACATAAAATACATTACCACCATGAACAATATCAAATTATAGCTAATTTTCAGGATTCTTCCTATAGAAAAAGTGACAGGAAACAGCCCAGGGGAGCTGGGGTTGAGTAAAGACATTAGTTGTAGAGCAAACTCTGATCTTTTGCTCCCTTGGTTTTCTTCCACTGGGTGATTAACAGTGAATGGCTCCGGGGCAAACGACATAGCCCTCGTGATAAAAGAAGCAGCACGTGGTGTTATCCAGCCCCCAGGGTTTGTGAATATTTTGGTTTATAAAAGCATTTCACACACAAGCAATTTCTTACAAATAAAAGGATTCCACAAGAAAATACCATGAAAGAATGAAATTGCTTCCCCTTTTTTTGACTCTATAGTCTACTTGCATATCAATACAACCAGAAAGGAAGAAAAAACACATATGTCTGAGAAAACTCCTAAGAACACAGAGAAGTATTCACAACCCTATTTTGGATGTCTTTCTCTCAAACAGATCTTATAATAGTAATATTTTTTGTTTTATGACAGGGCTACTGCAGAATTTCTTAAGAAAAAACCTCCAGTCTTAGTTAAAACTGTTCTTGTGCCACTTTTTATAGTTTCTCAGCAAATATTTGGCACAAGGTTTTGTGAACTGCAGCCCACTTCTTAAGATGCAGGCAATTCTACATATCACTTTGTGCCCCTCAGTGGCTGTGGTAAAACTCTTAACAATTTTTATAAGTAACTGGAACAGCAGGGCATTGTGGAGATAACAACCAGCAGATTACAAGAAAACAACGGAACTCTGCCCTTGGTATCTATGCTCCTCATACCAACAAACAGTACCACACTTTATTGTCGATCTCACTAACCTGATCCTGTTAAGATACACACAGCAGTGCCCTTTGTCCAGACAAGTAAATAAGTGGCCTTTAAAGTTAGGTCCATGGCTAATGACGAGGCTGCTGCAAACTGAGTCAGATGGACCACTTTACCATGTACTGAAGAACAACACAGAATGGCATTCTTGCATGTACCGTGTTTCCCCAAAAATAAGACCGGGTCTTATATTAATTTTTGCTCCAAAAATGCATTAGTTAGGGTTTCTTTTCAGGGGATGTTTTATTTTACAGTCATGCCATCTTCTTCTGATTGCTGCACAATGGTGGAGGGCGGGGTTTCACTTCACTTGGGTTTATCTTGGGGGTAGGTCCTGAAAAATCATACTAGGGCTTATTTTCAGGTTAGGTCTAAGACAATACTGAGGAACTCAGTCTTGTCTTTTTCCTCACTACAGCACATTCTCTGTGCTAAACACTACTGGTTAACAAAGACAGGGAAAAGAAAAGAAGGAAAATGAAACTCACCTTTCACCAGAGAAGTTTCCTTCAAATTGTGGGCCAGGAAGTCTACTGTGGTGTACGTACCACTGATACTCCCATTCAAGGGACTCCCACTTGCATGTTTGCCTTTCAACAGATGGTCTCCATCCAACACATTAACAGCAATGTAGTTGAGGCCATTCTGGAAACCAGCAGAAGTCTCTCGGCACATGGGACTACTGTTCTGTTCTTCCACAAAGTCTTCACTTTTCCTGAGGGACACGTTTTCCACAGAGGCTGAATTGTGCCACTTGGAATTGTGTGCAAAGGAAGGAGAAACAGGGGTCACCATAGTAGTGGAGGAGAAAGTCTCCGAGCTGTGCCTCCGGCGCCCCTGAGGATCAGCACGGATGACTTTGGCTCCATAATTGGGGTCAGGGGGAGGACTGGCAAAGAGGAAAGTCTCCATCTCAGAGAGCGTAAGTTGCTTCAGTCCAGTAATTGGGCTGGTTGCCTGAGTACTTTCTGGCTGATGTGAAATCGGCTGGGGTGGAGGAGTGGCTGTTGTAAAAAGCATCTCTGTATAGTCACTGGCCTCAGAAAAGGAGCTGGAAAGGCAAGTCTCTTGCATGCCTCCCTTTACCTCACGTTTGTCAGGCTGTCCAGAACTGGGGCTAGATCCTGACAGAAGTCCTTCTTCCAAGGAGCCCACAGAAGTGGCACCTGACTGTAACCCCTCAAAGTTGAGGTTCATATAGTTAGAGAAACGGGAGCGATGATGCCCTTCCATGCCAGTGCCAAACAAGGAGGTTGAGCTGTCACTGACTGGTGGTACCTGCGAGTAACCAATGTTAACATATTCCCCACTAGAAGCTCGGGGTTCATTAATGCTGGGCAAGAAGAGTCCCAGGAAAAGGGGGCTGGGCTGGACACTATTTGCTGGCTGGCTGAGGGAGCTCTCTGTTCTGCTGTGGCACATGGGCAAAGGCATTGTGGTGTTGTTACACACTGTATGGTTTACTGCCAGTGAATTCATAAATACATATTGGTCACTGTCCTTACTTTCACCTAGAAAGGTTGCCCTGTTCCAAAAGGCATGGGAAGGGCTTGACTGGATTCCAGGCCCCAGGGCACAAAAACCATTAGAAGTAGAAGAGGGCACTGAAACTGGGGACATACTGATATAGTCACCACCACTGGTTGATCTCCCCTCAAGATTCTCCCCAGAGAGCCTGGAATTAGTACCCCACATGTGCATGTAGCTGCTGTCATCTGAGCTCTCACTGCCAATCCTGGAGGGGACAGGGTGTAAAACTGACTGTGGAGGTGACATGCTGGTGGGGCTCATAGACATGTAACCGTCAGGGTCACCCTGCAGTGGCAGGACTGAAAGTATCCTAGGGGCCATGGGCATGTAGCCCTCCTCTTTGCCAGCACTGTACCCCAGATGGGAGCTGCTACTGCTGCTGGTGCCCCCAGACCCAATTTCCACATCACAGTAATCCTCGGGATAAGGAATAGAGGCTGCTCTAGGGGAGCAGCCTGCAGGAGGTAAGGTGGCCCGCAGAAGTGTGTAGTCATCCAGAGAGGTGGAGGAATGTGGAAGTGGCAAGAGGTGCTGGTGTGCCGGTGTCGTCAGAGAGCAAGTGCGTTTCCTGGGACCCATGTCCCTTCCAGCACTTTCACAACGGCCAGATGAGTAGCACAGGTGTCCCCGATCCATGGCAATGTAGCTGCTGTCAAGGTGCTGGCCAGGAGGAGTGTCAGGTGTGTGGATATTGTTGGCAGCAGTTAGAGAAGAGGAGGGCCGCGGATTGCCAACAGGACTGGAATCCAAGTCCTCGAAGGCCAAGAAGGCAGCAGCAACATCACTGGGGGAGCCAGAGGCGCTGGAACCTGAAGGCCGGGGCTGGGAGAGGGCAGCACCGGGGGCCTCCCCAGCCACCTTTGACACCCAAGAGGGCGCCTGTCCCAAGGGCAGGGAGCGACCCGGGGGCAGGTGGGAGCGGCTGGGCGGTCCGGAGTCAGGGCTTAGGGGGCTGCCGGAGCCCGACAGTGAGGCCACTCGGAACCCATCGCCCTCACTTGCTGTCCGGGCCCGGGTATTGGTGGTGGTGGTGGTGGCGGCCGCAGCGCTGAGGCAGCTGGCCCCGCCTGCTCCGGCCAAGATGTCCGTTCGCGACCTGCGGAGGAGGCCCGTCTGGCTGGGGGGCAGCGCGGTGCAGGGATGGCGGGGATGGCGGCGGGGGCCGGGAACGGAGATGGGCCGGCTGCACATGAGCGACAGTCCCCCACCACCTCCTCCTCCTCCTCCTCCTCTCCCCGTAGCGGCGGCGGAGGCTGCCGCAGCGCCGCCCGACGACGAGGACGAGGACTGGCTCTTGCTACGCGGCCGAAACTCGGCCAGTTCGCGCAGCGCCTTCATGGCCTCCAAGATGGTCTCGTGGATGTTCTGCGCCACCACCGAGTCGTCGGCTTGCATCCAGAGCTCGCCGGGCCCCGTCGAGGCCGAGCGGCCGAGCTCCATGAAGAAGAAGCTGTCCGAGTGGCCGCACCGGCGGATGTTCATCAGCTGCAGCGTCACGCAGGGCCGTTCGCAGTTGAGCCGCACCAGCCCCACCGTGCGCGCCGCCAGGCAC